CTAACAACTGACAACAACAACAGCAACAAAAACAAGGAAGGAAGGAAGGGAAGGGAAGGGAAGGGAGGAAGGAAGGAAGGAAGGACAGAAAGAAGCCGGTGACGATGAAGATGTGCCAAGTGATCCGTCATAGATAATCCAAAGATACTGCCATCTAAGAACCTACCTACTCCCTATAATTCCAGTATTGTAGTTTATTGGAGTTGGGCTAGATTTCAACTAGACTATCACCGAAGGCGGTCTATGGCATATGAGCCATGTCAGCCATGTGCAACACTGCATACATATGCCTCCCCATGATCGCTGTCATTAGCCTCCCGGGCTCCCGGGTCATTTCTGTGGCTTTTGGGGAGTTGCCTTGCGTCTCCTTGCACAAGGCGGCGTCCCAAAAGCGCTCTCGGCACCCGAGGACAGACTTTATTGGCAGAATCAGAGGGTTGGTGTGTGAGCCATGCAAAGCAGGGAGCCAGGAGAATGAATAGGAACTGTCCCCCAACACCCCGATTCAGAACTCTTTGTTGGTTCAGGACACCATTGCCTCGTTTTCCCTCGCAATATCGATGTCCGGTGAGGACCTCATTGCCCAAGTGCGGAAGGCGGCCATTTTCCATCAGGTGCCACTGGCAGGCCATTGGGTTCGCTTTTGGGCATTCCTGTTGAAAACACCATTCTGTGCATCGCTCTTTGCATTTGTCAGACAGTTCGCTAGGATGGCTTTCGCTGGACCACCAACATTGTGGGCACGGGTGTGATAGTGCTGCGCCCTGCTGAGGAAACCATGGCCGTAGATGATTGGATTGAGGGAGCAACGATGTCTCTTTGACCACTAGGTCAAAAATCTGTTGGCAGACTCGGGACATCACTTTTTTACGATCGCCACTCCAGTGAACAACTACAAAATGCGTGTCCATGTGTTGTCAAGGGACTCGCTCGAAGGGAACCGCCTGGTGTTGAGTCATTGTTTCTTACGTTTCTTGTTCTATCAGTGATCATCAAGTCATCATTTGATTCTCCATTGGCGCCTCTCTGCCACATGTCCAACGAGATGGATATATTGTATATACAGCACTCCTAATTTTCTTATCCTCTTCGGGGGATTGGTGGAAGAATGCTAGCCTTGCTTTTCCGGAGGAATCCGAGGGAGTCAGCATGAGTCAGCCATTGGGCAGGTGAAAATGCCTTAGAGTTCGACCTGGCGACCAGCCAGTGGGCCTTCACGCAGATCGGGAAGCAGATCCGGAGCTTCTCGCCGGGTACGGGCCCCCGGACGGGTCCGAGATGTTGCCAGAGAAGTTTGGATGAAACCACAAAACGCTTCCGAAACACCCTACCAATCCCTACCATACTTTCGTTCGCTAGCTGAGCTGAGCAACAAGCAAAGCTCATCAATTCACCGTAACTCATCGGATCCATCGGATTCAAATCACAAGTCTCGAGGGAAAAGTTCCTTGGCTCCAAGCAGTTCTAGTCAGCACGCGGAAAAAACACCACTGTTTGGGGTGCCAAAACGGTCGTCGTCTTAGTCCTCAACGGTCCTCAACGGTCCAAACCATGACTGTTCGGTCGGTTCGGTCGTTTCGGTCGGTTCGGTTCGTGGAAAATGGTGCGCGAGGTGGTGAGGTCCCGAGGTGCTGAGGCGAAGCGCACCCCCTGACATCGGTTTTGGTGCAGCGCGTTTTGGGCTGCGTAGGTTGGTACAGGGATGTACAGGGGGATAGCCGGTCAAGAAGCAGTTACAGTTACAGCAGACAGAGTGGAATCGAGGTTCTACCGTGTATTGTCGGGATTCGTTAGGGCTTGAACATCCTTGAGCAGCAGCTAGCATGTTTTAGAGAAACGTTTGAGAATTGTCCCCGATAGTATAGGTTCGAGGAAAGTCAGCAGACATGTGAGAGAAACGGGACCAAAAGTAGAGCTTTCATCGGATTTCTATAGATTCCCCCAAAATTTTCAGTTTTTTTCCATAGAAAATAGACCAACACGAGATTTCCAGAAAACAGTCTCCAAGAGCAGAGATTTCTGGAGAAGCGCCTCCGTTCTACAGAAAAGAATCCTTAGGCAGAGATATCTAGAGAAAAGTACCCAAGAGCAAAGGTTTCTAGTGAGCAGTCTCCAGATTTTGAAAGAGAAGTCTGAAAGTGGGTAGAGGTTTCCAGAGAACCTTCCCAAAGCCCAAAGCACCAAGTTACGTATATATATATATATAGCACCCTCCAACAGGCTACCACCTGCGACTTTAAACGTTTACAAAAGCCTCCAGAGGAGAACTGTTGGAAGGTCCTGGTGTATGCTGTGTATACAGCTTCTATACAGAGGAGAGAAGTCTTCAACTTAGAGATTTCTATGTGAAAACTGGTTCTTCAGGTGCCGACATGATGCACGGCCTAACGTTGTTGCGGCTCTCGGACAACTTCGTGAAGTGCGCCCGAAGGGAGCCGCGGAGCTTTCAATTGGTAAGAATGTAAGAAGCTCAAGGGAATGGATTCACAGCTTTCGGGACGACATAAATACTGTGCAACTAGACCAAACCACATGAAATCTGCTACGCACTTGGTCACAATCCCCGCCTCTATGTTGTTGACAGCCACTTGTTCTTTTTTTTGGTACCGACTTGTTTCATGGGTCGCCAAGTTTTCCCATGTCTCTGCCGGAGCCGGCATACCCTTAGCAGCACACTAGTCTGACAATTCTGTTAATCTTTGGAATTTCAGGGAGATATGCAGGTATGATATGCTAGTGAATTTGCAACATTTGCCCGGACTTAATCTGGACAGCTCTCGATAATTAAGGGGCTCTCTGAAGAAGACCACTGGAAAGAAGGCATAGTGGTGTTTCAATTGTCAATCCAGGGCATTTCATTAATCCAGATTCTACTTACGTGTGCCCTGATTCCACAGTTGAAGCTCTCATGCCAGGCCAGCTTCCCTCCAGCAGCTGGCGCTGTTTGTGACGCAAAACTGAGATCGGCGACGACCATGCATTCACGCCCTAAATCCACGCTTGGAAGCAGCTTTTGTGGCTCCCCCTACCATGCCCTCACGGAGCCTTTTCATTGCGGTCATCCGAGGGAATCATGGAAAGCAGAATGGGCACTTTTGTCGTTCCATGTCCGAAGACGTGTGACTTGCGATCGGCCGCGTCAGCGCTGACCACTGGCGGTGACCTGGCCCATAGGCCCCTGGCCTGCGGTATTCGTTTCTCAAGGAGTCACCAGGAAGACCTTGGCATACCCCGACGTAGGCCAGGGAGTAGGAAGGATCCTTTGCTCAGAGCACGGCCAAAAACTTTGGCAGGTGCTAATCGATTTTCCCCGTTTGGGATGGGGCCGAGCAAGAAGCATGTCGGCAGAGCGTAGAGCGTTGAGTGGATTCTTGGAGGTGAAATACGTGGCTTCACGCACCATGGCACTAGATTAAGTAGTCTGGGTCCATTTGGGTGCTGTGCTGTCCTATTCAGTGCTAGTATGGCTGCTGATGCAGTTCTTCAGTTGGGGGTAGAAGTGCAGCTCCGAATGATCGTTCTTTTGGGTTTCTCCTTGACAGACGCCTTGCTGAGAGCAGGGGAACGTAACTATGAGTAATTCGATTTTGAATGACTTTGAGCCGTTTGTTGCAGATGGAAGCCCCCAACCCATGGAAGAAAGGAAGGAAGGAAGCAAGAAAGGTCATGAAGATAGGAATCTAGAGAAGACATGGAAAGAACCGAACTAACTCAGTGACTTCAAACTGAAAGGTCTATCCAAAGAGAGGCAAAAAAAGCCGCCCACCACGGCCCTGGACCAAACGAAGTCGACCGACGGTCTCGAAGAAAAGCGGCGGCGGCGTGGAACGGATCCATGGGCCATGGTAGAGTTCTAGTGGCGGCACAAGGGGCGGTAGATCATGGTAGATCACTCGGTTTGAGATCCTAGCTGGTTGTTGTGAAACAATTTGCAGAGAAGCTATCTAGGACTCTCTGGCTTACCTCCCTAGATGAAATTAATGGTAGATTTGACTTCACTATAGTGTGTGGTAGCCTAGTATGTGGTTTTTGATTGAATTAGAAGACTTTTTACTTAATGACACACAGTATTTTTGATTGTCAAAGGAAGCTTTCATTTTTTCTCCTTTCATACTTGTGGAGCTCACATTTGCATTTTCCCGCAATTTTGGCGTATGTCCTATCTTTTCGAGCAATTTCTCGATTGTAGCACAGCATTTTTCCGATTCATGTGAAAACAATAATCAATAATAATGTCTATTGGAGTCTTTTTCAATCTCAAACACCTTGGGTTCCCTACAATTCACATGCTTCATGTTGAAACTCTTGGACTCTTCAAAGTCGCACCATGTTGCACCACTTGTTTTGGTGCTTCGGGTTTGCCCCTACCGGACTTACTCTCCCTCGAAAGCCTAGTTCTGTCAACGTTCGTTCACGGTGCCAGAGCCAAGCTTGGTCAATGAGTCAAGCCGGTGACCGGCAAGGGCTCCTTAGGATCTGGAGTGGTTTGACGGTTGGGTTTTGCTGGGCACATGCCAAGACTGTCCAGGGTGAATCACCATGGTGGCTGTGTACCACACGTATATGAGAATTTTAATAAGAATTGTATATATAAAATTCAGCTCACCCGTGCAGAGAAAGTGTCTAGAGTCCAGTTGGGCCCTGCTTGCAGGCTTTGCAGCTCACCACCTGAGCAGCAGCTCTCCAAGCCACTGAAGAGGTGGCAAAGAGATGATTGCACAAAAGGTGCGCAAAGAGGCGTGCCCAGGAATGGGTTGGACACTGCCCCGATGAACTGACAGTCCCAAATTGATTTCTGACCAATTTGATTTTTGTGCTCGACATTCAGAGCTCAGACAGAATACAGTTGTTCTCAGCCTTTGATTTTCCAACCAAGTTGCCCATTTAGCCCAATGGCTTTCGCAAAGCAATCAGTTTGGTCCGCTACCGTTGGGTTTGTCTTGCTCGGTCGCATTGGTCTCACGGCAGGCTGGACACCGCAACCTCAAGATGGCACATCCCTAACATCTGCCCAAAACCAGACGGAAGTCGGAAGTCGCAGGAAGAAACACCAAAAGACAGGACTTGTGTTATTTTTGACTAGTTCGAGATATACACCAATATTTTTTCAACCAAAGGCACCATGGCGCGCCGAAGTCGTGTAGCTGTCGTGGTGGCCTTGGCTGCTTTGGCCGCTTACGCCACCACGGCCACATGCTTTGTAGCTTCGTGTCTCGGGCGCAACAGCTGGGCCGTCGGCGGTTCTCATATGGCGAATCAGTTGGAACATTTGCTAACATGCATGGACATTTTTCGGACGAGAGAGAGAGAGAGAGAGAGAGTGAGTGAGTGAGTGAGTGTCGCATAATTCGCATAATGTTGCAGATGTTTGGTTCGAGTCGCCTTCACCACGAAGTGGAGAAGCAACGAGAGGAGCTATTGGAGCTATTCAAAGTTCCAAGCCAAGGTTTTGGACGACGACTTTTCTACATCGTGAGGATTGGGTCCTGCGCGGCCATCAACTAATTACTCAACCCGCCAACCCACCCAGCTTGAAATGTTTCAAGGACACCCGGCACGCGTCCAGGATGGCTTCAAATAGATGGTTTGCTGTGGTTTTCCCACTGTAAACATTTAGAGTCTAGAGTGGTCCCCCCAAAAAAGATAGTGGTATGGTTTCCAATACATTATTAGTAATTAGTATAAATTTATTAGTGAAGATCTACTTTTTCTGTTTATTTAGGGAAAATGATTTAGAGAATCTGTTGGTTCTTCTTGGTTGCTTCTCGGCGCCCGATGCCATGCCACCAAGGCCTTGGCGCGACGTCGTGCGAGGGCACCGAACTAGCGCCCTCGCTGGGCGCACAACTTCTACAGCGGCCGGGAGAGCGTGCTCGGCGCCGGGAGAGCTGGGCAGGCCGGCAATCAAGATCGGAAGAAGTCATATGTAGTAACAAGAAGCTATTAGTAACAAGTGCCACGCTACTAGTAACAAGTGCCTTACTAGTAGTAACAAGAAGCTATTAGGAACAATAAGCTACTAGGTGTGCATTGAGACCTCCCGGATCGACCCCCTGGAAGAAAGGACATAGACATAGACTTAGACCATACCAAACTCGATTGGTTGGGCGTCTCCCGTGTTTCTTTTTGATTGACACCTATACGTCCCGGCCCGTCCGTCATACGTACGAGTCATTTGTCATCATATGTCATCATCATTTCGGGCCTCCATGCCTCCAAGGAGAAGTGGTCCAATTGTTGCCCTGAAATAGCACATCCATGAGAACCCGTTCTCATGAGAATTGTGTTTTGCATTAGCCGCCCCCCCACTGCAATTGGACCTATGTATATTGCATAATGTCAACGTTTTGGGAAAGAGACTCCAAAACCAAAAGAGACTCCAAAGATTGATCACTATTGTGGTCCAATAATCCTCAATGAACCTACTAGCACTTGTGTTAAGTCGTCTGGTCTTGTAGAAAGTCGTCTGGATGCTGCGTTTCCATTGGGGTTAGATGCAACATGGCAATATAACTGGAAGAGCATTAGGTCAACAACATTGTTTGGATGCTGCGT